GACAGATGATTTAAGAGGTCCTTTCCACTTTTATTTTCCTATTTCCTATTAGCCATCTTCGTGTTTAAGAAAACACATTAAAGAGCAAATGCATGAAAAGAAAAAGAAAAACCACGGGAACAGAAAATATAAATTGTGCTCTGACGACAGCTGGGAATTCAGCCCTTCACCATGAATTCTGATTTTGTTTTCTGCTACATCACACTCTGCCAGTTACTAGCTTTGTCATGGTGTAATTTCCCAGAAATAATTCCTGTTGCACTTTGATCTGCCACTCCTGCAGCCTGTGTGGTATGGCATTGCTGCTGAACTTTATTTGACTTCATGTAGTTCTATTGCTTTGTATACAGTGTTGGAGACTGATTAAGGAGCTGAATAATAAAATCAGAGGCAATATTACATGCTAATCACTACAGCACTGTGTAAAGACAGTCTACAAGGACACATAAGGAAGTTTTGTAAAAATAAATATTTAACTTACGGCTGAAGAAGACTGTTAATTAATACACTATACATGATAGTTTATTTGGAAATAAGCATTTTCAAGTATTTTAGTACCCATTTCTTGCATTCTTTCCTGATACATTGTGTTTCACTCTGCTTCATGTGCATCCTGTTTAATCACAGTAAAAAAAATATTTTTGTAGTTAGCAGGATGCTAGCCAGATACTCTCTTGCTTTCTTCGCTTCTGATGTTTCGGAAAGATACACATACACTTTCCCAGAGCAGTATTGTGTAACTCTCTATGGTTTACGTTAATTTTCAAAGGCAAGTAGGACTTGCTGATTTCTAATATAGATTAAGGCTAGTATTAAGCTTAAGTAATGTTCAGGATACAAAAGAAATCACAGTAAAGTTGTTTCCTAGGACCTGTAAGGTTGGCAATTAAAAGTAGAGGGCTAGGTTTGGCAGAAGTTGATTAGTAACTTTTTCTCAGGAGCATATTGGTGTCAGGTTAGATTAGTTAAGTCAAATAAGGGAAGGCATTTAATAGCTCTGTTCATTTCTGATAATCACAGTGTTAGTAACAGTCAGCTCTAAGTGTTCTGTGTATGGAGTGGCATTTTGTGGCCTACACCGCAGTCATGGCATTGAGATTCATGGACCCTACAAATCTACAAGGAAGGCTAATACAGCAAATGGAAAGGTAGTATAATAACTTCCGGTAAGTTATGAGGAGTGCAAGCTAAAATGAAAGTAAAAATTAATTGTTCTTTGGGCACAGTGGCATAGATTTAGGTTTGGGATTAGCACTGCAGGAGTTCATCTTACTTGGTTTACATTTTTCTGTTTGTATCATGCAACTGCTATGAGGTTAGTTTTAGGACTAATGAAAGTAAAAGACACTTGTAAATACTAAGTTCTAGAAGTGGAATGGGTATAAAGAGTGATGGTTCCTCGATATAAATAGATGTCTGCGTTGGAATTAATGTTGAGGTTGGGGGAAACAGGAGTTTCAAAGCCCACGTTACTGCTGACCAGTGTAACACCCATGGACTGAGTGCAAATATGCATGCTGAAAGGGGGAGAACTGCTTTTTCTAAATTCTAGATTGTCTCTAGTTTATGCCAATAGCAGGGGTGAGGGCTGATGTTATGCTTGGAGTTAGGCCTGGATTTGGGGACAGTTAGTGCTCAAGCACGCTTTTCCTCCTGTTCTCCTCCTCTTGTTATCACTCTGTTTATGAGTGAAACTATGTGCTTTGAGCATCAGCATAACCCATGGCTGCAGAGCAATGCCAGTGCGCTGCAGAGAATTACAGTGAATTCTGTGAGTGATGCAGGGTTTTTTTTCAGGATCCGTGAAGGTCATTCTTTGAACAGTAGCTGTCATTTTGCAGCAACTCTGAAATACATCTGCCTTCTGGGAAACTTAGAAAAACATACAAATATTTATAAATGTACACAATGCAATGTTCAGCTTGACAGTTAACGCTGAAAAGCTGTTCCAGTTTCAGATATAACATGTAGTTCTGCCATCCTTTTCAAAACTGTTTTCTGTTTCCACAGAAACTGTTAGCCCTTCCTCTCTCCCATCAGACCGTTAGCATTTTTATAGCTGTAAATAACTCTGTTGTGAGGAAGGACACCATTTCTTCCTTTTGTCAATCACTGCTGACCAACTCCATCCCTCTGTGTCGCTGCAAGAGTTTGCGCATTGTGTCATCTATTGGCACATGACTGTTGGAGTGGTTTCTCAGGAGCTCTGGTTGGTTGGTCCTGAGCTGTGCCGAAAAGGCTGTATTCCTCAGAAAACAAGATCAGAGGCCTCCTTACAGCTAGTGCAACATACACTGTGTTTATATAGAGAGGTATTTATATGAAGCTGAATTGCAGGTTTAGAGGTGCTATAAGTACACAAAATCGTGTTCCTGCTGCCTGTGTAATCGCTGTTTTTCAGCAAGGGAATTGAGAAGGAAGTACGTATTTTGAAAATATTGCTACAAACAGAAAATAAAATCTGAAGTTACCCCCAACCAAGAAATCTAAAAAGGATTCAAACTCTTATTTGTGCATCTAAAACTATGTATTTTTATCAAAGCCATTTTATTCAAACTAGTTACAAAATTGCAGGAGTAAATTCAGGTGATCCCTGGAAAATTAATATGACATATAGCAATTGCTCTGAAACATAATAATTTAATAAAATGTGTTCTTTTTATAGTGCAAGGTATTTGCATTAGCTACCTACAAAATTTTAGAGGATGATGACTTTGCTTCTAGTGACCTACTGACAAACTAAAAAAGATGGTTTCTTATGAAAGTCCATATTCTGAACTGGGGTTCCATTGCTTGTCCTCTTACTGTCCCATAAATGTATAACGATCGTAGACTGTTCTGTTTGAAAGGAAACTTACATTGCTTCTGGAGCAAATACCCACAGTCAGTCATTTCTAATAAACCGTTTCATTTTTTCATATCCCCTGGTCATCAAAACATGACCATAGGTCATCTTCCTATGGTCATGTTTTGCCACACCCTTATTTCACTGTATGTTAAGCTGTATGAAGAACTGTCCTTCTCTTCTAGCTCTACACAGCCCTATCGTGTCTGGTTGTCTCACTCTCTGAGAGTTGTGCTGAAACATAGGTGTTCTTAACCAGTATTCCCAGGACTTGTCAAGGTTTTCAGATAAAAATTAAGGGATCTTGAGGAGCAGATATTGGAGAGGAAACCTTATGGCAGATGAAGGAATGAGTCAGAGAAAGTGAGTCACTTCATACTGTAGGCACAAAGGATTATAGGTCTTAACTTTCTTGTTCAGGATTAAATACTTCACACAGCAGACTGTTACTGCCTGCAGTATTTTCTTTCTGACTCAGTGATGTCAAGATGTGGTAGTGTTCACACTCTGACATGTGTTTGGCTGTTGCTGAGCAGACCTGTAAGAAATGCTTCTTATCAGCTAAAAGAATAACTTAAAAGGAATCAGTTAACTGACAAGGTAATAAATTTTTTGTGTCTCAATCCCCAACATGTATATTTCTAAATGTGTATGCATCTGTATATATCTTTGCTGTATTTTTTCTGACACTACAACATAATGTCACAGAAACAACAGTATGGAAGTATATATATATATGTGTATAAACAACATGTATATGTGTGTGTGTGTATATGTACATACTTGAGGGAGCCTAATCCACAGAGGCTTCTCCACCAAAGTTGCCCCTGGTGAATCCAGTTTATTAATGTGCAAATAAAGCTGCTGAATAGCTCTGGAGAATAGTCCTGAGTGCCTTTAGGTGCTATATCTGGTAAAAGCCTCTTTACCTCTAACCTACAGTGTGCCGTGTAATAATGCTGCTGGACTCTTCCACTGTCATTAAAGACCTAATGAAGTTCCTGTATCTTTAGGTTGTTGGTTGGTTCACCCTGGAGTGGCTATCCGGCTAACAGAACTGGAGATATCTATGCATGTCCTGTTGGTACATCCAAAACCACATGTAAAAAACTGAATTTACAAGGTAAGTTGTAATGAATAATGTCTCGCTACAACTGTTTAGATTTTCGTCTCTTTTGTACCAGCCAATCTATCTTACTAAACCTTTTCTAAACTGCCACTCTACACAACCTCATTCTCTGCCGTGCGTGTGTTTGTGTGTGTGAGCGTGCTGCCAGGACTGGGTGCCAGCTACTGGTGAGATCTCTGTGTCAGTGACCATGGCTGCTGGCGTCAGGCCAGGGGTATGGG